ACTCCATTCTATGTGACATTGCTGAAACAGCATCACTACCATCATACTGGTATTTTAAAATTACAAAAGATGAGTGGTTATCCCACAACTTTGGGAAAATGTTTTCTTAGTAGTAGAAATCTCCTGGCATTCTCCCTCCAATGTACAGTTCTTGTTTAATTGAACAACCCAAAGTATTTAGGGTTAAAGTCTGTGTTGGATTATTATACATTAAGAGCTGTTTATTAATTCATCTCCCAACATTCAATGCTACTGGCAGTGTTGGGCAAAATACAATAATCATGATTACATTTTATATAATTTATAAGTAATAATATGATTAAATTTGCTATAATTACAAGTAATTGATGAGGTACTATTTGTATTATAGATTGGAAACAATATGTTATAATATTAAATCTAATCTATAATACAAATAGTACCTCATAAATTACTTGTAATTATGGCAGATATAATCACAATTATATAAAATGTAATCATTTTGCCTAACACACTGTCTACTGGACATTTTGGTTGAATTAAATAGGCATATTGGTATTTTAAAAGACGGTTTAAATATAACCAATTAAATGAAAACTGCCTCAAGGAGAGACCACTGGGTTCAGGTTATGGTCTCTCATGGGAACCTCTACTTCATTTATTCTTTTGTTTTCATATAAAAATGGAACACATACCTGGATCTGTGAAAGCCCTTTTCAAATATTTTGAAGAATTGCTCCCTCTTTATAAAAAATTGATAGATAAGAAGCATTCTCTCAAAATATTTTGAAAAGTTATTTTTTTCCTTTCATAGATTCAGGTATGCTCCCATTTTTATCTAACTATATTCAATGGATCACCTTTTAACTCAAACTCTTCTATTTATAATTGCATTTATAGCTTGCATAACATAATACGTAATAAGTTTGTTGTCAAGATTTAGGTGATCAAATTTGTTTATCTGTTCAGTTAGATCTTTGCTAACATACCTTGTGATTGTAAAACGACATTTGAAATACTATCCCGCATGTGTTTCTTTTCAGCGAAAATTCAAAATTTATTTCAAGGAGAAATAACGATTATTTCTAACCTTTTGGATGAGGTATGAAAGGGTGAATTGTGATGAGTAATGATAAACGGAAAAATAAAAGTATCCAGGGATGGGAATCGAACCCACAGTGTTCCGCTTACCAGGCAGATGCCATGTCCACTAGGCTAGGCACTCGCTGAAAAGAAACACATGTGGGATAGTATTTCAAATGTCGTTTTACAATCACAGGCTGCATTATATTATATACCTTGTGTTGGTTAGAATTTTTGTATAGAATGTGATTTCCTTCCCTGTTGTGCATGCTCTCTCAGTGTTGTGACTAATTAACCTTTGTAGCATGTCCCTTCCCTCTGTGGTGGATATTAAATGTGGAATTGTACGATGGGTGTAATAGCTCTCTTAGTGGTGGGAGAAAGTATGACACATTTTAATGCCACTTTTTGAAACTTGACTCAAAACACCCTTATATATACCCTCTATTTTTATTTATTCTCCTTCAAACATATCTCCACTCAAACATTTTAAGATGGTCAAGTCTGTTGATATTGAGCATTTTTAACAGTATCTTTCATTTTGGAGGTAAAAGTCGACCTGCTACACTGAGTAGTGCTCCCAGTCTTAATAACAAAAGCAGACACATTCTACTAACTCAATCGTTATATGGATGTCAAATCTCCTTTGATGATATCTACTAACTCCTTTGATGTTCTCCTATATCAGCAGATTGTAGTCACTAATGGCCTCAGATATATTTCAACTATATAGATAGGGGGTATGCGAAAAGATTAAAGAGGAGGAGCTATTTGACCAATATACAGTCTTTTATAATACAATATAATGCTGCTTATGATTGTAGAACAACATTCTAAATTATCCTGCATATGTTTCTTTTGAATGAAAAATTGAAATTTTATTTTAAGGAGAAATAACGATTATTTCTAACCTTAGGGATGAAGTATGAAAGGATGAATTGTGAAGAGTAATGATAAATGGAAAAATAAAAGTGTCCAGGGATGGGAATCGAACCCACAGTGTTCCGCTTACTGGGCAGATGCCATGTCCACTAGGCTACTCTGGACAATGTCACTCTGGACTGAGGTTATAACCATGTTTGTGAAATATTGTGATGTTATAATCACAAGTTGCTTTTATAAAGTAGGGTCTTGTAACAAGGTTCCCCTGTATATAGTGGAATAATAGCTGTGGTAACAAATGTGTGTCAATATACACATAAACTTTCATGTACCATAAATAGTGTTACAAAGTTTATATAAAATTCAACATGTCAACTTGGCAATAATGTAATCAAAATGAGACTATATAAAGTTTCTAAAGAGAGCCAGATACTGACTGAGACAAGACAAGTTCTAAGTAATTAGAAAATGGAAAGTCCCTAGACTGTGGAATCCTTCCCGGGGATCTTCCACAAGTCATTAGTTTGGAGACAGTTAACTGCCTGCTTCTGAGCATCTCTCTCCCATTCAGACCTTGACTTTGTCCTGGCCTCTCTTAGGTGCCATCCAGACTGTCTCGACCTTTATTTTTACCTATATAGACCTAGGCTTCTGAAACCACAAGGCCCCTTGATTGCTGTTGTTTGTGGTACGACATGAACGTACCTCCCGATCATGCAACCAAATACATTGCTGATTCTTATTAATCCCAAAGAAGGTATTTAGCATATTTCTAGAAATAAATAAAAATTACATGTCAAGCTTATATTTATTCGGATAGATGTTGCCAGCAACAATGGGTTGCCTGTTCATTAGATGTTATATCATTAGGTCATTTATCTACTTGTGTTACTACTTGTTAAACAAATGAAATGTAATTTAGGATTCTCTCTCAAGAGTTGCCACAATGGTTTATATAGCTGATGGAGGAGTTGTCAACATATTGGTGGTGTGTTGAGATATCAACAGTTTATTTATAAAATTGCAGTAGAAGTTCTCATGAGGAGGCCAACTGATGGGCAACCTCCCTGTGATACAGTCTTACCTCCAATGAGAGACCATCTCCGGGAGAAACCAAGAGTAGTCTTGATGTTTTTAGGCCAGTCTCTCATGGCAGGTTATAATGTACATACACTCATGAACAAAACTTAAGGAAGTTGTACCTTTTAGCATGTATATCTGGATTCAGAAAATAATTCTGAAAGATATTACAGTGACCTTTATTGAAGACACACAGGATAACCAAAGTGTGAACAAAATTGCCTCCGTCTCTTTAAAAAAAATAAGATATCCAGCTACATCAAAGAAATTCTACTTCCTTAAGTTTTATCCATTAGTGTATATAATGTACATGTAGTATTTTATATAGAAATTTCTCTCTTCCTGAGAATTAGATGTGTGTTTTCCCCACCCTTTTCTCTCATTGTGCATGAAAACCCCACATTTCTCCTAGGTGTAGTTGTCCCTTTCTCTCTATCATCTCTTCTTGTAGGTGTTGTGGCATGCTACAGTAGATTTTTTCTCATACCATTGTGGTGTTAATCCTGTAGTCATTGTGTGTGTGTGCATCTTTCAATAAGTTACCATGTTTGCATATGTCCTCTAATCTTATTTCTCAAATCTCTTCTTGTGTGCTCTCTGACCCACTAAACACCATTTGTTTGTTTGTAACTAGGTTTATTAGCATTATTGTATAGTCCTATTACATGTCATTCTCTACACTGCTAGGTATATACTGTAGTTTTTGTTATATATTTATGTTTATGTTTGGAAGAAGTTCCTGAATGGTCAGACACACACACGCTCCCTGTATGCAACTAGACCTACTTTGTACTGAAAAAAAAAGTGTGGTTCCTTTATTTGAACTTTACAGAAGCATTGGTCAATTTGGCCTATTCTCCTTGCATCATGTCTCTTTGTAGTACATCAGGATTTACTGTAAGACATTCTAGGAAAAGCATGTTAAAAAAGGAAAGGTAGAGTTGTAAATAAAGATAGCATCTATTAAAATAATACAACAGGTTTCTGGAGATGAGCTTCTTTTCATTTTTTATTAATGTAATTTCAAGCTTTCAGGCATCTCTGCCCTTCCACAGAAGTACAAAAACAAATAATAATTATATATATAATTATTTAGTATCTAACGAGTTTATCATTATTATTTGTATATATATATATATATATATGTATATATATAAGTATATATTTTGCATATTACTTGATGTTAAAATATTCAGTTAGTTTGTATTTACATATTGACTATGTCATATACATATACATATTGAGGGAGCAATCTCTCGAAATATTTTGAGAAAAAAAAAAATTTTTCTTTACAGATCCAGGTACGCTCTTTTATATAATATTGACTATTGTTTGTTTTATTTTAGGGATTATATATATATATATATATATATATATTATATATCATATTGGCTGAAATTGAATTTATTATTTTGAAGTTGTTTTATAAATAACCTGTTGTATTATTTTAATGTGTAACCAGGAGATTCCAATCAAGTATAGCATCTATATATTGATTTATACCAATGGGGTGCAGTGCAAAGTTGGGTAAATTCCTTCTTCGTTAGTTTAAAGGGTAATTCTCTTTGATAATGAGGTTTTTCTCTTCAGTGTCCTGCATTGACTGGCTAGCACTGGTTTTCTCTTGGAATGGATTTCTTTTCTTAACTCTTTTTTTTATTTTTTATTTAAAATGTTTTTTCTCTTTTCTCCACTCCAGGCTATATTTGATTTATTTCTAAAACTTGATGTAGAAGTTTAGCCAAGTTATTTACACATTCCTCTTTACTGATTGGTTGTGGTTACACTGGAGCTTATAAAGAATATCCTGTTTCAGACACCAGTTACTTCTCTTGTATAGGCCTTGTCCACTTCAAATTCATTCTTGAATATTTTAATTCAATTTTAATTGATTTTCTAAATAGCTTATTATTGATTACCCCCTCTTCTTTACGCCTGAAAACCTTAGTAATCTAAATAGGCATCATCCTCATACCAGTAGCATGGCTGAGTGGTCTGAGGCACTGGTTTTAGGCACCGGTCTCAAAGAGGCATGGGTTTGAATACCACTGCTACCAATTTTAAATAGGCATCATATTGTCATATCGTTACAGCCCAGGTGGGCCATCTTGGAACTCCATTTCACCCTGTTCTTACCTTTATATTTTTGAGGTAGGAAGACATTTGGAGGAATCAAAATGAGGGTTTTATTTGGCGTGGAGTCATTAGGTCCTCAGGTAGGGTCGGTAATACATTCAGCTTGACTTGGGAGGTTTGTTTCCAGAACTTGATTCTCTGGAAGACATCTTAACTCTACTCTCTAAAAAAATATCAAATAAATAAAGAAAGGTGACTAAGCAGAGACGTAGTCAAAGTATGCCCATTCATTTCTGTGGTATACTACAGATTAATGATGGTTGGAGTAAAAACATATACAGTAGAAACTCTCTGTAAAGGACACCTATTTGCAGAGTCAAAGTGTCCTTTAAGGAGAGGTGTCCTCTTACCGGAGAGTTACTAGTTAGTAAAAATTGTAATTTCAGAGATGAAAACTATCCTATATAGAGAAGTGTCCTCTAACGGGAGTGTCCTCTCATGGAGGTTTTATTGTATAAAAATAAATTTCAAAAAAGTTGACAAACAATGTGATCACGGTCCTTGTTATATAACAATTTATTTTAAATATAAACTATTTCAGTAGATTATTGAACCAATCCTTCTCTTTGGTCTACCTCCCCTTTCATTCTTCAATCCCTCCAGTATGGTCAATAGACCATGATGCTTGGAGTACATGTCTTGTAAACTTTATTTCCTTTTGATTAATTCAATCAGAACATCCTCTCCATCAAACCTTTTCCAAACTTCTTTGTTATATTATCTGTCTATTTGCTATTGAAGATTATTCTATCACACATTAGATATCAAGAGTTTCTTTTAGGAAACAGGGTTTTGTTTCTTCTCCATATGGATCATATGGGTGATGAAAAAGAGCATGCATTTCCTTAATGAAACTAAGCATTGCACAGAGATTTCTATCACCATCTATCAATCCAAAATATCCTTTTTTTCCTTTTCTTAAATTGTGAAGTAACACAAGGTAAAATATAAGACCAAATCCAAATAAATAAATAGTTTGTGATGTTTCGGTAACAGCATAGTTACCAAAATGTCACACAATCTTTATTTATTAGAATTTGGTCTTACTTTGTGTTTCTAATCTATAATCCAAATTGTACCCTATCATAATTGTATAAAGTAAATAATATCTAAGTCAGGATTTAAAAAAAAAAAAACCTTTTCTCTTTGATCCCAAGTCTGTCCATTACAAGACTAAGTCCTCCCCTTTGTTTTCTGTTAACAGTTCTTTTCATCCACTTTTTTTTTCCTAAAGCCTATATATTTGTAGACCAGATCCTATTGCAAGTTGCATAAACATTCCAATAATGACAGCCACGACACTGGAATGAATCCTGCGTTGGGTGCTTTTTTTTCTGAATTAAAAAATTGCTCCAAAAGCCCCTGATTCTTGGAAAATCCAACTCCACCAATGAGTGATAGTAATCAAACCAAGCTATGGCACATTTGTAAGTGCGAAAGTCAAACTGCTTTCTGCGTGTGTTTACTTGCAGTAAAAGCAATTGCCGAATACTACCCACCATGGCCAGTACCATGTGTACTAGGGATAGTTTTAAAAATCAGGCAATCTCATAGCTGTAGTAATAGTAGTAGACTGACCTTCTAATATTGTATATGTTTGGGGAGTGAAAGATGAGGTACACTCATGGACAAAACTTGAAGAAATGGAAAGTATTTGATGCCTCCAGTCTATATATACATATTTTTGAAGGAGACAGAGGCACTTTTGTTCACATTTGGTTATCTCATGTGTCTTCAATAAAGGTCACTGTGTATCAAATATCTTCCATAGTTATTGCATGAATCCAGATATACATGATAAAAGGTACAACTTCCTTAAGTTTTGTCTATGAGTGTAGTTCATAGGTAAACTCCAATCTGCATCCCCATTTTATATATAGAAAATTTTGCTGCAATTTAATAGATTCTAGCAGATTAAGTAGTGTCTATCTTTGTGTTGTTCAGTTGCATTGCATACATCAGAAGTTGCCTTTCTTTGTGTTATCACTTTAAACACCATTCTTCTCTTCCCTATCTCTTATTCAAGTAGGAATCCTAGAAATCATCAATGTATAGAGATTGTTTTTCTAAAGTGGTCTATTCACCCTACTGGAGGGCTACACTCTGAATCATGAAGGTGAAGTAGACCACAAGGATTGGTTGGTTGGTTCAATCATCTAATAGAACCTGGAAGAGAGGTGAACAGGGTGAAATAGTATCCCATGATGGCTGAGTAACATATCTGAGATTTGACATTACCTGAAAAACAGTTTTTTCCCTCATATTTGTGTGGTGTCAACATTTTTCAACTCGAAAGTGTTCTCAAAATAGGTATATTGAACGAAAATTACCCCCTTATATTTTTCTATATTAAAATATGGTAAAAATGCAGATATTATGAATTTTTAAAATAGTTTATATATAGACATTCATTAATAGTACAAGGGGGGGAAGCAACAAAGAAAATATTCTTATCTAAATCTCAAAGTGACAGTTCAGCTAACACTTTGGAGTAAAACTAAGGAAAGTAGAGGTGGAGATTTTTCTAATGTACTATATGCCTATAGGTTTATTCCTAGTTGTCATAGAGAAAAAAGTCATGCATTTATGATGAAAAAGACATTTCCTGAAAGCTCAAAATGAGCATTTGAAGATGGCAGAGCTCCATCTTTCAGAATAAATATCAACTAGATGCTGATCCCATTTTATTCCTGAGTAGAGGAATGAAATCAATGTTTACTTGCGCTATTATTTATTCTGATAGATGGTGCGCTGTCATCTTTACATGCTCATTTTGAACTGTTAAGAAATGCCTTTTTCACCCTACCTAGCTGTGTAGATATCTGATCAAATACATCTCACATGAAGGGGATACTCCTGACCACTCCCTGTGATATGACATTTATCTGAGCTTAGATATCAAGTAATTTTAATTAAGGTAGTCAATAAAAAGATGATTGTTTCATCAGAAGAGTCATGGCTCATGGGGAGTTTTTTCTGTGTTTTATCTTCTTTTTTTTTTTCAATTATCAGAAATCATTTTACCAAGTTAATTTGCATAAATCAAAACGTTGAAAGATTAATCTCTCTCACTTTTTAGTACTTTTTATCATTGTGACTGGTAGTTACACATTAAATTGTGTAGTTTAAACATCTATTACTTGTGGATAACCAGATTAAAAATAGATTTTCTTACATTTTTTTCTTTTCACTTTATTTTCTACACTTTGTTAGATTCTACTGATCCTTAGATTTTCTTCCTTCATTTTGCAGCTATACCTTTCAAAGATTTTTTTTTTCCATTTTTAGCATCAATGAGCATAGTGGTTCAGGTTCAAATTATTCTTCATATTTACATATGCAAGTGATGCATTTATTTTTCAACATTATATTCAATATGTTATTGAACATATTTCCCCCTCTGTCTTTTGTTCATATAATTTCAAATTGTTCTTCTCCTGACTACAAGTTCTATTTCCTCTTCAGCCTAATATGCATATAGGAATCTTTATTTTTTCTAATAAGTTTATTTTATGTTTACAACATGTGATTTCTTGTTAATTTAGTTTTTCAAATAATTTTTATAGTCATCTCTCTAATTCTTTTATGAGAAAATCATTCATAAGATTCAATTTGCCAATTGTTCTTATAGAAATGAAGGTGGCTTCTCCTGTCAAAATAGATGCCCACCCAAAACTAAACGTCATCTATTGTTCTTAGTTTTTTTTAATTATGATTGATTTTTTTTTAAATCTAAGTTTGAATTCAGAATATAATGATAATTCTATATATTATATAACCTTTTTATAAAAATGTTGAGTGCTCTTTCTCTCTTTTTATTATTATTTTTAAATTTTATATGTCATCATATTTTACCCTGGTATAATGTATCCAATTCAGTAAGTTCTTTTAAAAGAATATAGTCGTTCATAAATATATATATATTATGTGTGAATATATATATATATATATATGAAGTTACATTAATAAATTTAGTTTCTATTCAAGTTTTGTGTTGGCTGTCATCTTTGTGTAATTTGATGCCCCATATGCATATTGAAAAATCTGTCATATATATATATAATATATATATACATAATCTCCTTTATAAATTTTATTAAAAAAAAAAATAAATTCAAATATATTCAACATAACTGGATAGAGAATGTTTAAATTATACTCTAATTGTGTGCGAAAATTACGGAGGGGGCTCTAATTTATTTAAATGGTCACACATTTTAAAAAGCCTTGTTAATTTGCATCTCACCAATTTGCATATTCAATAATATTTGCATATTGAAGCCTTACAAAATAGGGTCTGCCGGGAATTCTTCCACTGCCATTGGCCGTATTATTTTAGAGTGAACATCTTTAAGCAGCTTGTTAATGAAAGATTTGCGCGAGATGTTTTAATATATACAGTTGAATCACCGTATTAAAGTGCTGTTTGATCTTTCTGCTTTTTTAAAATTCCCCTTTGATCCATTTGCTAAAGATTTTAATGAACATTTTACAATTTTTCAAATATTAGGTTTAAAAGTGCATATTTGTAAATGAAAAGGATCTAATAATATATATTTTTTGAAATTCAAAATTTACATCATTTGGAAATTGAACAAACGTAAATGGTAGCAAGAACAAATAGGTAATTTATATGTGAAGTTTTATCAATATCATTCTTGCCATTTTCAGACAAAATTGATAAATTCAATACTTTATAAAGATAGTAACAATGCTCTTACAAAGAGAAATACCATATATAAATCATATATTTGGTGTCGTTGACTTGTGAATTTTATCAATAATCCCTATATATACCTTACCATATATCTTATAAAATTTTCCATCTGTTTAAAAGTAAGACTGAACTAACAAGAGTTTTGGATATCAATTATTTATTGACATTATACCAGGGTTTAACATTGATACATATATTTACTCT